TCCGGGTTGCATCCCCCAAGTGTACTATAGATGATAGAGCCTTCAACCGTATATATATATATGCGTGTGTGTTTGACTATTGTATAATTGCAAATATACATATATATTTTTATATACATATATATTTATATATACATACATAAATATATACATACGTACACATGTAGTAACATATTATAACATTCAACTACCTTATATATCATGGGGTCGCCATGGATAAGCTGGGAGGTTCAAGAGTGATTTGACCTGGATAAGCCTTGGATAAACAACAAACAGCAAGATATTCTGCACACTCCCCATTTTTAAAAAAATGACCCCTCAGGACCCCAGATCCCCAAAATTTCTAAAAATTAGTAAACATGGTGAACAGACATCGCAATCACTGCAGAAATCCCATTGCCCTTTTGTGGGTTGTGGCTTAAACCAACAATTGCTTTGGATAAGCAATGGATAAGGACGTTCAGCTATCCATGGGGAATCAGACCTTAATAAGGCTTTAAAAGATACAGTAACCCCTTAATATGCTTTAATAAGCGGGCTTAATAAGACCGTTATAGGCCTTAAAAACATTAAAAAACGGGGTTTATCATGTCTCAGCCTTATCGGGAGCATGATAAGCTCAGAACCCCCCAGACCCTCCCCTTGATTCCATGAATATATATATATATATACACACTAATTATGTAGTGTCCTTTAATTTTGAAATCCATGACTCCATGACTATAGATATACCGACGCTCTCCACGCCCAGCTTCGTCTTCACCGACTTCTGGGACGGGGGGATCATGGTGAAATTTGGAGACGTTCTACGTTTGATTGTGCCCCAGGTCGTTAGCTCAATTGGTTGAAATCAGCAAAGTAACTAGTTTGATATATATATATATATTATATTTAATATAACGTATATATTATACAATATAAAGTACATATTATTTTAATCTATATATATATATATATAATATAATATAATATATATATAATATAATTTCTATATTTATATATATATATATATATATCAATAATATATTTAAAATATGTATAATATGTATAATATGTCATATTATATATTTATATTTCATATTATATATATTTACTATTATATATATAGTATATATAATATACATAATAGTTTTGAAAAATAATTATATATATATACAATATATCATATATATATATATAATAATATCTAATAATGTATCATATATATATTATTATATTCACTATATATATAATATAATATATATAATATAACATATATAAAATATAATAATATATATATAATATAAATAAATTCATATAATATATATATATATATACATACTTTTAATATATATATATATACACATAGGATAAACCATAGTTCGTGGAGTTAAAACTGGGATTGAACCACTGGAAATGAACCTAGACTTGAGATAAAATTGAATGACCGTACCATCAAAACCATGTGACTCAATAGAAACAAGGAGCCAAAGAGGTTTCAAGAAGAAAAAACCCAAGTTGTGGATCTTGGTTAATGTTACCCCACCAGTTGTTGTAGTTATAGACAAGCAGAAACCTATCATACAGCACTTGTAATTCCAGATGTTTGTTGGTTCAATCCACTGATGTTGGTGCTTAACCACAGTTTTTTGATGATTAAAGCCGGTGTTTGATGATAAATAAGACATCATAGGAACAGATTTCAATCCAAACGGTTTGGAGTAGCTCACATGCGTCCAGTTTCTTACAACGATTGATTTGCTGTGCAAACACTGGATGGTGACACACATATTCCAAGATGTTTGACCAGTTTGGTAAACCGGCGATGTTTTCTTTGTGACCACATTTTCCAACTATTGCATTTTCCCAATTTCAGAAGGTTTTTTTGTGCGGAAAACTATTCCAATCAGTTTTTCTTGTTCTTGCACTATCCAAGTATATAGACGCGGTTTCGAATGTGGAAAACACTTGCTAAGGATGTTGCAACCAGTTGACAAATTCAACCTGACAATTATATAAAATTGGATAGTTGATCATGTGCTATGACCTAGGACTTTCCATAAGATGGACATGCCTCGCGGTTAGGCTCAGATCGTTTGGGTGGCAAGCGCTAGTGGCTCAAGATTACAGTCTGTACTCCATCAGATGCGTTGTTTCATACCCCATAGGATCCATGTATGCTATCATTATATGGTAACATTTACCATCAATATACCCCCAATGTTAGCAGCTAGCATATATACCATACATGGATCCTATGGGTACTTATTCACCCTGACATAATTTCACGGAGTGATTTTGTGATCCCATTGGAAGCCCATCTCTGAAACGTGCAGGAGCAAGGGCATAAGCTGCCCATGGAATCTCGCGTGATGTGGATGTCAAAGACTCAGTGGCGTGTTTTCAGTGGGATCACCATAGACATGGAGCTACCCTGCTGGATGCTTTACAATGGAAAGTCAATAAGTGGATGATCTAGTTGGTGATTGGAAGGTCAATGTTTACGTTGCTGTTTTTTGTGGTTGATGTTTGATGTAAAGCAACTTCCAGAACAATTCCACCGAGAAGAAGTTTCTTTGAAGGCTAATATGTTGCACGAATGTCCACCGTAGCTGAGGATGAGCACCTCTGGCTTCATGGTATCCCCATTACATCATATTACATCCTTATCAATTTCTTCCTACTATATTTACCTTCTGGTAAATTAACATAGACCCTGAAAATAGCCTGCTAGTCTTAATGAAAACTAATCTTCCAACCCCTATCTGCCAGGGTCTATGTTAATTTACCAGAGGGATATATATATATATATATACACATAATGTTAGAGATATTCAATACCACACAAACAAAAAATCCTTTAGGATCTATTGGATCTATGATCTATTCCACTGGGGGTCCATATGTGGAGTATTTGTTTCCAGGAGGGAATTGCTGACCATATTCCCATGACCTCCATGAGATCTCCATCCTCCATGAACTTTGGAATTATCCTAGCTAATAGCAGCTATACACCAACGATTTTGCCACCTTGCCGTACGATTTTCCTATCTTTCCCTACGATTTTCCTATCTTTCCCGATTTTCCCATCTTTCCGCACGATTTTCCCATCTTTTCCTACGATTTTCCCATCTTTCCCTACGATTTTCCCATATTTTCTGGTGGCTGGATTTTTTCCAGCCAGATTGACACCGGAGCGGAGGATTGTCCATGGTGGAGAGAGCTGTTTGGCCACATCCATGACCACTGCGGTGCGGACCGCGGGGATTCGGACCGTTCGACTGGAACGACTGGAATGACTGGAAGATCTTGGAATATCCTATGCTATATATATATATATATATTATATATATTTTATGATATACTGGTTTATATACTCTGGTTGGTGGCTTGGAACATGTTTTATGAATTTCCATATATTGGGAATAATAATCTCAACTGATTAATATTTTTTGGAAGGGTTGAAACCACCAACCAGATACACCAACCAGATATATACTGGTTGGTTTGAAATGTAATCATCCCAACTGACGAAGTCCATGATTTTTCAGAGCAGTAGGTCAACCACCAACCAGCTACCAGAGGGGAACATGTTCCATGCTATGGAATATCGCTGAATCATCTACCATGACTGGGGACGAGTGAAATCCCACCCATCAGTGACATCCGGGATGGTTTATAACTGGGATTACCACATTATACAAAAAACAACACGGTTCATACACTACGGTATCATCTATACACTATTTGACTATAACTAATAACCAGAGTATATAGCTATATAACTATAATGACTATTATGATATAAATATAATCACTAGAATTGATTTGATTTATGTTTTTTTGGTGCCAGTGCCCCGTCGTCTTCGCTGAGTTGAGCTTCTTCGCGAACTTGGCCAGCGCCCTGCAACCTCTCCGGGAATTCGGGACGGGATTTCCCGCGTCTGGCAGCGACGCCGTGACGTGCGTTGTGGGGACTGGTTGTGTACTGCTGGGGACTGGTTGTTACCTTATCTGATTGGTGGTTTGGAACATGACTTTTATGACTTTCCTTATATTTGGAATAGTCATCCCAGCTGACTTTCATATTTTTCGGAGGGGTAGGTCAATCACCAACCAGTTATAGAGACAATCTTGGGAAGATATTGGGATATAATCTTGAACATAGATATGGAACATGGACTGTGTTTTTCGTTGATCAGTTAGTAGAGATGGACGGAGAATTCCTGGAGGATTGGGAATCGTGGGGTGCGGCGCCCATCCTGGCTTGAGGCTCAAAGTAGCCGTATCGTCAGCGTTTAGTGATGCATCATTCATGTTTGGCTTACCTGGCTTACCCTGTAGATATTCCAGCAGCTTACACCAGAAATTGCCACTTCCAGAGGACAATCCTTCTTGTGCGATCTTGGCCAACCCCAAACCGCGTTTTTCCTGCACTGTGCCTTGATGTTGGCAATCAGCATAGCTTGCTATGAAGAAAAAAAACTTGCACAGTAGATATGGTATGGGTAGGTAACCCCTCAAGTTTCAGCAATTCTAATAGAAAACAAAGAAAACAATGATGAGAATCCTTAGGAATTGGCGGTGGCCCATGCTTGGGCAAACAGTTTTGATGTAGATATTTCTTTGACTTCAAGGCTCGGCACTAATCCTATGTAGCTTGACCACGGCACATCTTTTTTTGGAATTTGAACAAATCCAAGTGAGTAATATGATAATATGCAAAACCCTCTGTTGGTTGATGATTAGTTCTGGTGATATTCTATCCAATAATGGATTATCAGAATCCAGGAACTAGGAGGTCCATTTTTCACAACTACACCTGAGGGGAACTATAGGATATGCGCCGTAAACAAACTGACAGTGTTTTTTTGTAACTCTAGTATCCAGTACAGTTCACCTCAATATTCGCTATAGCCATATTTTGAGGACTTTGATATATCCGTATTACAAAGCCCGTACATGGAGATTGTATATGGATATTTATATGGTAGGTACCTCCAAAGCCTATTCAACGTGGCATGGACCTCACTGGAAGCCCACTCCACGGCTGGCACGCTCCGCGGCCACCACCGCGGAACAGCAGGTGATGGGAAAGGATCCATGTCTGGAGGTGTTCTTTGTTGAATTATAACAGGGTTTACATATGGATCTGTCTGAGAATAGGGTATAAACAATCAACATGTGGGATTCGATATTTTCGGACAAGCCCATATGAGGATCACAAACGGTGGAGGAATAACCAACAAAGTGAGAATGTACTGAGATGTTATAGCTGGATTTCACCAGCAAGCATGATCATATTGTAGAATATAATGGAATTTAGAGGGATGTGGTGGGGAGATCTGGGTGAATTGTGTTGCGACATTACGTCGCGAAGTCACTGGCATGATAGTTTGGATTGCGGTAACTATCCAGAAATGACCTCAGTGTAGGCTGGTGATTGTAATGTACCCATACTCTGACTCTAGCTCCATAACTGTTATTCCCCCAAAGTGGTGAGAATCCCAAGTTGGGATGTGAAAGTATGTATTGTAGGGTGCGTTAGAATTAAACACCTTACTGTATATCAATATGTCTACTGAGTGATCTGGTATGGAAGCTGTAACCTAGCGTATTAGGGGTCTTTTGGTGTCTTGTCAATGTTATGGGCACTGCTATTCCATTGCTGTATATACCACATAGGTACATGCAGCCTACATGTACCTAGCTTCGAGACAGACAGACTGACCGACAGATACATGCTATGTTTCTGGCCTGATGCAACTATGTCTATGCTGAGAGAGGTGCTAGATTTCTAGATCTCAAGCAGGCCCGATGATAAACAGGCAGTGTTGAGACCTAAATGGACTCTTCCAAGAATTGCTTCCTGTGAACATTTACAGCACCCTTGAGATAGCATAACTTGAGACAGCATACCTTCTATGCATTAAGTTCGATGCCCAATTCATTGTGTTGGTGGGGTCTATTTATAATTCCCATAACTACTGCTTGTTTCTGTTTGATCTCCCCATGTTTGTTGACTATCTCCATGGTTGTTGAACTTTGTCAACAAATATCCAGATGTTTGCTGTTGCCCAAGAAACAATCTGTGAATTCCGCCTTTTTTTCGCCAATCTACTGGCATACTGGTACTTATGCGGTTTAGACCTACTTGCAATTCGACAAATGGGGCAATCATACCCCAATTCTCCCCAATAAAACTGATCAAATTATATAGATCCCAAATCTTTCTCACCCCAAAAGAAAAGCACAATCTCATACCTAAAAGATCCATGGGGCACATTTTTCTTCGGCGCCTACTCTAGCTCAGGCGGAATTACCCGGAACATCCAATGCGTCGGCATGTCCTTCCTCCTGTCGGCACTTTTTTTAAAAGCATCCCCGACGGGTCCAATCTAGACGGGGCTGAACTCTCAACTTGTTTATACTTTTGAATCAAGGAATACCGATGGGGGCCCGTTTTCAAAACATGTTGAATGTTGAACAAGTTTTTGGCCTCGGCACTTTTAGCCGGAATTTAGGCGGAATTGTCTGGAATTTAGGCGGAAAAACCCGGAATTAGGGGAAAAAAAAGAATTAGGCGGCCGGGAAAAAAAGAATTAGGCGGAAATGGAATAAGGGGACATTTGGTGCTTGCGGTCTTTTCGCCAAAGCCCTGCTCAACCAATTCAGCATCTATCATGCAGGACGCCCAAAACCACATAGTTGGGGGACCAGATGATGTTCGGCATTTTTGTTCGGGCATCGGCGTTTGCTTTTGTCCTCGGCGTTTCCTCCTGAGTAGAAATTTCTGCGTACAGGAGAGTTGGGCACTTTTTTCCGCCTAGTGTTTCTAGGTATTACAAGATTATATTTACATCGTACTTTGGACCCCTATTTTTTTCCCAGTTCTCCCAAACTTTGACCCATCACCTGCTGCCATTGCCAGGCCACCAGGGAAGGCGCCTCGTCGCCGCGCTACGCTGGCGCCGATTGCGGCCGCGGCCGTCGCGGCGAAGATTGGGAAGACGCCCTACGATGTGCACGTGGCGCCCATGATGCAGGCGCCCCTGCTGGTGTTGAAAAAAATCTTGTAGCAAATGGCAATTGTCTAGGAAAAAAGGCATTATCTTAATATCTCAGCTATTCTATGTGGAATTGATTTGTTATGATTTATTCAATGGCGAGCCGATCGCAAATGCAAGTCCAAGAGTTATGAAAGGGCATGTGTATTTCAGCATCCGGGATTGTAAAACCCTGCGTCGCGATTGATCGGCGATTGGCTCGCGATTGAGACAAACACTTGTTGTTAAGAATCGACTTTGTAAGAGGAGAAACCAACATTATATTTTAATGGCATGATAATTATGTTACATGTCAGCCTTATACTGTATTTCGGGTCTGCCTAGACACTGTGTTCAATACTGATCGCCAATAGCAAAGAAGAATCAGAACAACAAGTTCAAAGTTCAACAACCCAGGTTAAGTCAAGTTTTAAAAAATGTCGATGAAATCCGCGATTGGTTCGCGGTTGATCCGCCATTGCTCCGCGATTGTTAAACCCGCCTGGGAAGGCCCTGGCTCACGCCATGTCTCTATGTAGCAATGTTTTGACGATTCTCTGCGCAAAATAGTGTTGCATACGGCAGAAGCCTCCCGCGATTGATACCGTTGGGATCGCGGTTGATTCGCGGTTGACCGGCGATTGTAGCTGCCCCAGATACCTGAATTTTGATCAGCACCCATGTATTCTATGATGGATCTTATACGTCCATGAGATTGATTTCTACGAGGAATGTGGGAACTGTGAATGATGAAAAATGTAAGAAAATGGGGGTTGACCACTCACAATGGGAAGGCAATGTGATAGAACCAACAATACGGGGCAGCTGAATTTGCAATATGTCACACCAAACATGGACTATTTGATGGGGGCACATAAGGTTGGTAAAAGGAACCATGTTAATCATTACTGACAAAAATAAAAATCATCGATCAATTCGTCTCAAGTCAAAGAAACAAGGAGGTGCTGCTGCCAATTGAGGTCGGGAAATGCTGGCTGGACAATTCTCTTGTGACTCTTGTGTCTGAATATGATCTGACTGTATTTTGTTTCCCCACGCACCTGAAAACACACTGTTTCTGTGCTGTAGCCATTTTTGTGGTCCCCTGGATATGTTTGAAGTGCAATGAAGAAGGAAGAAGGGTAACTGCTTGAGCCGTAGCTTGACATCAGAGCAGCAGCCTTTGCGGTAGCAATTCTACACTTAGAGCAATCTGTTGGAAACTTTGGGATTTTTGGATGGATTTGGTCCACTTCAATAAAGTGTCATAGAACCGGCGCGAATGCACCAAACAAACATCTGCAAGTCGCGTTCAGTTCAGGTGACACATCGGCACATGCGATTTCTTTGCAGCACCTTGTCAGCTGACTTTGGAAGAGTTTGGTAAAATATGAAAAAATGCTCCCTCAAGTGAAGACTTGCACCTAGTTTCGGATTTCTATATGGCACCTTTTCCAGATCACGCATATATGGTGTGGTAATGGTGTAGTGTATGATATATATATATATATAATAATATTACTGTGTATATATATATATATTATATGCACCCACATGCCGGCAAAAGTACGAACATGGAATATGCGCACTATGACTTGGGATATTTATGGGGTGCTTGTAATTGCCCCAGTCACTGACATGGATCCAAACTAAACTTTTCTGTAGCAACAGTGCAGTGCCATCTCAAAAACTTCTTGAGGTTGCAGCCACTTTCCTTGTAGCCATTTTGGCTGTATCATACTCTGTAAAGATCTTTCAAGTACCAAAGGAAATTGAATTGATCGAATCCAAGCCATGGCCATGTCCATTCAACACTGGAAACAACGCCATACATATTTACATACATATATATATTTATTTATTTATCACTTAAATGCACCTTTTCAAAGCCAATTGCAAGTGTGAAGGGCTTTGACGGGATTTCTCAGGACTGTTGTCCAAAAGATTAGTTTTGTGGACGGAGATGATCAAGGACTCTAGCATCACGAGCCCTGGCTGATCCTGGCGGCGGGCAATTCTGGATGACCAACCGGCTGGGTATCTGGTGAATGTACAAGGTCGTGCCCCAGTTCGGAATCGCTAAGTTGGTGAACATAACTCCAATTTCACTTGGGTTTATGGCAGATATATCATGATATATCTATGCTATCCCTATGGTTTATAAACCAACGTCCACATCACTGGGGCACATAACCCTTGTAACTGGGAAGGGGTGTCAGCCATTTACACATGGGATAACCCACGGTATTTTTCGTGACCGTCTATATTGGGGCTATACACCAAACATATTTCTGTATATAATTACATGTGCATATTATAAATATACATATAAAATATTATTGCTTGGTGTATTTAAATTTATAATTGTTACGCATTCATCACCAAGCACATATCATTCCTTGGGACCCCTTGGGACCCCTTGGGACCCCTTGGGACCCCTTGGGACCCCTTGGGACCCCTTGGGACCCCTTGGGACCCCTTGGGACCCCTTGGGACCCCTTGGGACCCCTTGGGACCCCTTGGACCCCTTGGGACCCCTTGGGACCCTTGAAACCCCTTCGAACCCTTGGGGATTTTTGGGTCCCCTTGACACCCCTTGGGACCCCTTGGGACCCTTTGGGAGCACTGAGGTACAACCGCAACAACCCAGAGTATCTCAGAAAGCTCCTGGACATGTCCAGTTCCAAAGACGGGAAACCCGGGATCCACCAAAAAATCCAGTGCTGGGGAAGTCACATACTTTGGCTATCTTTGGCCTTGCGGGTTTTTTGTGCATGCAAGCGTTATCTAGCATATAGTAAATATAGGTCTAGTATAGGCGGTGTGTTTTGATTTTCCAGCTTGGTCCCATTCAATCTGGGACCTGGGTCGAAGCAAGTTTGAAGTTTAATGCGATGGTGATGTGTTTTTCAAAATGTCGGCAGGGCCCCTCAAAGGCACCTCTGGCATTGGCAGTGCTAGCCTCAAACAGCTGCAAGATTCATGAAGTGTGAAATTTGGAAATTGCGCCGTTTGTCAAATGGTAGAACTATGTCTATGTGAAAGCAAAACCACGGACATGTGTAGTTTTTGTCAACAACACAATGTGATATACATTCATATATGTTCACCCATTTGTGTAATTGTTTCCTTGTTTTATCTCGTCCTCCTGGCACATTTGTCCATGTTGACCAGACGAAAACAAACAATCAACGGTATGCGGTTTTGTTGTTTCCAAATCTATGTATCTCTATTATATACACAGATATATATATATATGTGTGTATGTGCATGTTATCATATCATATATATATATATACATGTATAAATACTATGTTGATCGTATTTTATAGTTCTTATTGATGTTGTTTTTATGTGCGATTGTATCGATATAATTACGCAATACTTGCATGTACTGATGAGGATGCTGTCTGCACCTGCGGCAGGAACATCCCGTGGTTCTGCAACTTGGTGGTAGTGACCCAGCTGCTTGCTTGGTCGATATGGGCTGCAGGTGTGTGTGACGACAGATCAAGGCCCCCAACGGAATCAAAACAAAACAGCCACAATAACTATGGTTTATGGTAGATATATCGAAAATGAATGGGGTTTATAAACCAACTTGTAACTGTGGGGATGGGTACCACCTTGTGTAGGGTTGTTTTTGGGAGTACATATTGGTGGTGTCAAGTCTGATCCGTTGATGCTTGTTTTCAGCGATAAAGGTGGAGGGATGTTTGCCCGAAAGTTTGCTTGCCTTGTTTGTTACATGGATCGGATAGTATAATAGCCCCCCGGCATTTCATTTTTAGCTTGGCTTCGATTGTTTTGTTTCAACGCTGTCCTCCACAATTCCCGATATGTATTTTAAATGATAGATATAGCCCCATCCCATTTGTATAATATTGTATGATGATGATGATGATGATGATGCGAACTGCAGTTTGTATTTAGGAGATGTTTTATTATGACAGGCATCCGGATAGGAATCCAAGACCTGAACTCAGGACACTCTAGCTGAAGCAGTTCGCATTGCGAAACCATGGGGCGGCTCGCCTACTCTGGTTATTATGCTGGGTGGCTGGCTATATTGATTGTTCATGTTTGTTCTATTCTTTTGTCGAGGTTCCAAGAGAAAATCTGATCAACTTTGGTTGGTTCGAGGGGTGTTTTCATACAGGATGATATTTTTTCTGATTTATCATCGCATGTCCTGGGTGATCTGAAATATAACTTGCATGCATTCGTTTGTTTGATTTGTTTTTCCATGTAATTGTTGGATATGTTTTCCACAAACATTGAAACTTTTTGTATTTTTTCGCCTCGTGACACTGTGCCCGGCCCGTAACCTTCTGAGAGAAGGTCCTACAATTTGGGCATCGCGTTTCCCCCATGGCCTGGCCAGTTATTTTACGAGGCACCAGTTGAGACTTAAACCGATACTAGTAAATGATGAATGATGCTTGTTAAAGATAGATCGAGATAGTAGCTCCTGAATTTATTATTTTGATAGTGATGATTCGAAAAAAGACAAGTAAGCAATTTTGGATGTACCCCATTTATTCACCCTATCAACATTCACGACAGGACGCCACTTGCACTTCCTGAGGTTATGATGAGATCAACCTCAATTGCAACCTGGCGATCACGGTTGGTATACAGTTATGGACATGGCTCTTAGGTATAACGGGTTATTTCCATGAGATTATACATTCCACACATGGGGTTTTGTTAGTGCTCGTACTTATAACTGGTAAAGGGCCATAACTGTAAGGTCATGTGTCCATGCTGTGCAAACCACTGGTGTTCGCAACCTGTTTTTGTTGCTACGTTGCAAGTATTTTCAATTCACATATCACTCTGTAATTGTGAGGTCAAAGTGTCTATGTCCCACCTGTCATTTCTGATAATAATCGTCGAAGGAAGTTTAGAAGTCAAACTTCCGACAATATGGACAGATGAAAAGCAGAGATGGGAAGATTCAGAGAGAAGAGAAGAGTAGAAGAGAGAAGATCATAGAAGAGGAAAGAGTCAGAAGAAAGAAGATGCAGATGCGCGAAAAGGTAGGAAAGTCCCAAAACAGTGTGTTTTTCCAATGATTTGTGGCTCCGGAGGCCGGAGGGTCGAAAAGTAGGCTCGCTAAAGCGGCGGGTGCGGAGCCATCTGGCCAGATGAGAGATGAAAAATTGCACGCTGTTGTGGCGCGAAGCACATGTCGAAGTCAAAATGTACAAAGCACACCATTCTCGGACCACTTTTGGAAGTTGAGATGTCGAAAAGGTGCACGCCGTTGTGGTGCGAAGCACATTTCGAAGTCAAAATGCCAGGTCCGGATCACTTTTGGAAGTTAAGATGTCGAAAAAGTGCACGCCGTTGTGGCGCGAAGCACATTTCCAAGTCAAAATGTACAAAGCACCACATGCTTGCGCCACTTTTGGAGGTTCAGATGTCGTTTCGCGTGGCAGGCACAAGGAATTGCGCACCTTCTCAAAAGTGAGAAAAACGTGAGGTTTTTGTAGCATAGATAGATGGATAGATAGATAGGTAGATAGATAGATAGGTAGATAGATAGAGAGATAGATAGATAGATAAAAACATAGATAGACAGACAGGCAGACAGAGAGAGAGAGAGAGAGAGATAGACAGACTAGATAGATAGATAGACAGATAGATAGATAGGATAGATAGATAGGATTAGATAGATAGGATTAGATAGATAGGATTAGATAGATAGGATTAGATAGATAGGATTAGATAGATAGGATTAGATAGATAGGATTAGATAGATAGGGTTAGATAGATAGGATTAGATAGATAGGGTTAGATAGATAGGATTAGATAGATAGGATTAGATAGATAGGATTAAATAGATAGGATTAGATAGATAGGATTAGATAGATAGGATTAGATAGATAGGATTAGATAGATAGGACTAGATAGATAGGATTAGATAGATAGGATTAGATAGATAGGATTAGATAGATAGGATTAGATAGATAGGATTAGATAGATAGGGTTAGATAGATAGGATTAGATAGATAGGATAGATAGATAGATAGGATTAGATAGATAGGATTAGATAGATAGGATTAGATAGATAGGATTAGATAGATAGGATTAGATAGATAGGATTAGATAGATAGGATTAGATAGATAGGATTAGATAGATAGGATTTAGATAGATAGGATTAGATAGATAGGATTAGATAGATAGGATTAGATAGATAGGATTAGATAGATAGGATTAGATAGATAGGATTAGATAGATAGGATTAGATAGATAGGATTAGATAGATAGGATTAGATAGATAGGATTAGATAGATAGATAGATAGATGGATAGATAGATGGATAGATAGATGGATAGATAGATAGATAGATGGATAGATAGATAGATAGATAGATTGGATGGATGGATAGATAGATAGAGATAGATAGATAGATAGATAGTTAGATAGTTAGATAGTTAGATAGTTAGATAGTTAGATAGTTAGATAGTTAGATAGTTAGATAGTTAGATCGACGGGTGAGAGAGAGGGAGAGAGATAGATAGATAGATGGAAAAATAGATAGATAGGTAGATAGATAGATAGATCGGTAGGTAGGTAGGTAGGTAGATAATCAGGGAAAGAGAGAAAAAGAGAGAGAGAGAGAGAAAGAGAGGAGACATCAATCACGTTTCGATCCATCAGTGGCTTCGCTTTGCCATCCGTGATTCACAGCAACCAACCTCTCCTATAGGTTTCCTATTTTTGAAACTTCCGCCACCGCCTTGTGCGGTACTACTGGTATAATTATAGATGTTTGACATCACTTTGATATCCCACCTGGCCTGTGGACGAATCTTGGTTCGGATGGTTCCAACTCAAAGCCGGTTGACGACCCGTCGCATATGGGACCCAGGCGGCTGTCCCTCCGAAGCAGCCGTGAAGGTTCGGCAGGCAGGGGCCCGGAGGAGATAGATAGATCGATAGATTAGATTCAATTGTATAGATTGGATTGGATTGGATTGGATTACATTAATTAGATAGATAGATAGATAGATAGGTAGGTAGGTAGATAGATATATTATATATATATAATATCCACAATGAATTTAAATAGTGTGGTAAACCCAATGCCGTAAATCTCCAACTTTGGATGAATACAGCCTATTCCTATCTATCTCTATCTCTGGTAAAATTGGGAGATGGTTGATGACATGGAATTTACCACAGTAGGGACATAACTCAACCATAGCTAACTGTGGGGCCCCTTAGACCCATCGCAGGGCCATGGCTTTGGAGCGCAGTTGATGACGACACCAGAGCTGGTTCGCACGGCGCCCAGGGGCCATGCGAGACCGTTAAGGTTGGTCAAGCATCACAGCCTACCGGGCCCTCAAGATAGGTAAGCTGGTGTAGAATGGTGTAGAACAAAATTCCTCCAGAAATATTCTGGTTTATGGTACGTACATATATATATATATATAATATGTTTTTATATATATATATATATAGATATAATATGTATATATATATATAATATGTTTATATATATATATATGTATATATATATATATGTACATATATATATATATATACACACATGCTACCCCCTCAAAGATCTACCATTTTTAGCTTTGTGTTGCTGTCAAAAAGGTAGTATTTGTTGGGAACCTTTTGCAAAGACAAAGTAAGTACACTATTACTTTCAAAAAAAATGAGCACATACTCAGGTCAGAAAACACATCATTTCTTGAAGGAAGCAATCTGTTTTAAATTGCAGCGTTCCTTTGCATGCTTGAGAAAAATCACCTTCATTCATAAACTGCAATTTTCCTTCCAAACAAAGTATGACTTCGTTCAAGAAACAGTACCCCTACAAAAAATAGAGCATTCCTCTAAACATGCAGCGTTTTCTTTCTGAAGAAGTGCAGTTTTCCTTTCAAACTAGTATTAAGCCTTCCTTCAATCATACAGTATTTCTTTCAAAACACCAGATTCTAACATGTTGGATATGTCTGTCTTTTTGGTGCAACAGAGTAAGAATAATATGTTGATCAACATTAAATATACAATGAATATTGCTTCATTATAGATTCCTTAATACTTTAAGATACCAGTTTATTGACCGTAAACATATCTTTAATAAACCTTTTAGTAAACCTTTGACATACCTTCAGTATCCCTTTTTAAATACCATCTAGAAAAAACTTTAATATACCATTCAATATACCTGTAGCAACCCATTGGATAACCATGAAACTACCTTTAATATACAATTTAGTTGGCCTTGAAAATACCTGTAGTATACTTTAAATATACCTTCAATGCATAAAACTTCACTACACCATTTAATCTACCTTAAATATACCATTTCACTGGCCATGAAAACATGTTTAATGCACCTTTAGGATACCTCTCTACCTCTAGAATACCTTTTATTCTCCATTTAATTTGTCCTTAACAAACCTTTAATGTACCATCTATACTTAGTTTACCATTTAAAAATCGTTAATATTCCATTTGATATGCCATTAATATATTATTAAAAATGTCGATTACTACACCTTTAATATACCTTGGAGGTATAGACTTTAATATTCCATTGAATTGACCTTGAAAATACCAGTATGCCCCTAAAATACCTTGTACTTATCATTTAGCTTGCCTTTAATAAACCTTTAATATACAATCTATACTTAGTTTGCCATGTAAGAATCATTAATATTCCATTGGATATTAGATTACTATATGAATTAATATGCGTTTAGAATACCATTTTATATACCATGAATCTACCTCTAATATACCATTTGATTGACTTTGAACATACCTTTAATATACCTTTAGCATACCATCTAATACACCTCTAATATACCATTTAACATACCTGTAGTATACCTGTGATATTCCAGTCTGGCCATGAATATATATATATATTATACACATTATATTAATATATATATATATATTTATTTTTTTAGTATATCTTAAAAATACCTTGTGTTTACCACGTGTTTGCTTTTAATATACCTTGAATATACAATTTAGTAATCGTTCCTATTCCAATTGATATGTCATTGATATTTTACATATGTCATTAAAAATGTCGTTTACTACACCTTTAATATTTCTTGAAGGATACCATTTCATTGACCTTGAACATACCACTATACCTCTAACATACCTTTTATTTATGGATCCAGGACAGTTTGCAAAGTTTGCATTTTTTTGGGATTCAAGATTCACGATTCAAGATTGTGGGAACCTTGTTTGAATCCAAGCGCTGACTGACATGGGACCCTGGATGACAGTCAAGGCCTGGATTCAAGAAGTTTCTCCCAGAATCTTGAATCTTGGATCCAGGAAAGTTTGCAAAATTTGCAATTTTTTGGGAAGTGTCTGCGTGTGTGCGTCTGTATGTGTTTGCCACGTTTTGTTGATTCAACGCATATGCCTGTGTATATGTATACGTGTGTATATATATATATATATATATATATATGGTCACCCCTTTCAATTAGCTGCTCGATTATCATCCCAAACCATAAGATATTAAAAAGGTAGGTCAAAAATGGTAGATCTTTGGGAGGGGGGTACCATACATATATATATATATATTTATTTATACACTGTGTATAACAGTTGGAGGGTTTTTTGGACCAACTTACAACTAGGAACCCCAGATTGTAGCCGTCTTTCTGGTGTGTAACATGGTTGGTGTGTAACTATAACATAATGTTGGGTTTATGGTGAATATACCTACAGTGCAATGGTTTTGCCAAAATCAGATTTCAAGGGGGGTGCCCATCAAACATGGCTAGCTGCGAAATCCCCTGAAAAATAGGCAGTTAAATTGGAAAAAAAAACGCATCTGTCCATGGGAAAAAATACATTGCCATGTTTGATGACCAGAGAGTACCATCATTTGTTCGACTTTTTTTGTGGAGTGTTTGAGGAGCAGAGATCATTTTAGGCAAGTGCCGCAGCCCCTTTTTTGTTGGATTTTGGGTAAGTGTTTTTTTTGCACATGTCTTTGTTGATGATGATGTGGCCACAGGTGAAAAACATTGAAAAACATTGTTCACCCATGTTGACCCATGGGTGGATGGATTTCATCCTGCAACGGTGACTGACGACTTGAAGGGCCGATACAGAAGTGTCGACCCGCATACGCCCAGTGAGTGGATACCAAACCATGTTTAGGTTGAATCACACCATCAACACATGGAACAACTATTCACGACCATTCTCAGGGAACCATATTCGCAGGCAAAAATCATTCAACAGACTGGTTTTGAAGAACGACAACCATTTTGATATTTGGAGGTTTCCTGAAATAGCGGTACCCCCAAATCCTCCATTTTAATAGGATTGTTCATTATAAACCATTCAGCCATTGGGGAAGCCTCATTTATGGAAACCCCTGTTTCTTCAACGTGTGTTTACAGCGATAAACCTACACTATTCCTCTGCAACTGGTCCCAGCCAGCCGCGGCCTAAGGGCAGTGTACGGAGGCAATGGCCGAAGAAGCCGAAGTGGACATCAGCCGGGTTTCAGCATAGTGGAGCCGGTGGTTTCAACAACCGATGGTAGTCCAATTGGTGGTCCAGTTTTGGTCAACAATTTATTGGAGTATTGGTAGTCCAGCTTTGGTCAACAAAATATAGAGCAATTGACTTTCTCTATTTACTGGTAGTCCAATGCTAGAAAAACAATGGTGGTTCCAACAACCGATCAAACATCATCAACAAATGGTGGAAGGTCGGGATGGGTGGAATATGCGTGGTTTGTCCAAACATGTTGGGAAAAAAATGAAGATTCCAGTGAACATTGCCATAAATTGGGAGCGGATTTCCTTTGGTGGACTGGATGATAATATAATCTGTGTAATGATACACCAAGAGGCTAAGCATAGACTGTAAGTCTTTGAAATGGGCACTTATCAATTAGGCTTACTAACCACTTACTGAAATGATCCTCTAAGCAAGTGTCCCGATGTGGCTTGTTATCCCCGTGTAACATTGGGACTTGCCCAGAAAATGTTATATGCCCCATAGTCACATGCGGATTTGATTGAAAGGTAATTTTGTATACTAGGTAGTTTATCTTAACCCGATGAAATTGACCAACCTACCACCGCAATGTCAAAATGTGTTTTCAATTTAACACGTCAGGCCCAGTTGAGTACCAATAGGCAGATCATGGCAGATCAACAAATCAACATCTCGGGATTTGAGCTTCAAAGATTGAGGTATATCGTATCGACATTGGAGATTTGAACAAATATTTTTAGCAACAAAAACACCACAAAGTGGCCCTTTTTCAAAGTGAGAAAATCATTCCCAGAATGGTGGCTGGCTGATGGTTCTATACTGGGGTCTACTAGCTGAGTTGGTGGCGTCTACTAGAATCAATAGCAAAGGATGATTCCCTGCGACATCCCAAACCCTGATGACGATTGACTGCACAGCAATGCAGTTTCCCTCAGAAAGCTTTAGAGGAGCTGACCTCTTGATAATATCATGAGCTGGACTTTGGATGTGAGATGTGCCTGTTAATGTGGTGGTTGGATCTAAACATTGAATCAAATCCGTTTCGGGTACGTCCAAAAACAGGCGCATGGAAAGGAAGGATACTTCCCGCTCCCCGAAGGATTAACAAACACACACCATCAAACTGTCACTGGTTGGTGATTTGGAACATGAATTTTGTTTTTCCATTCAATTGGGAATGTCATCATCCCAACTGACTTTCACTCCTCATGTTTCAGAGGGGTAGGTCAACCACCAACCAGCTATAGATCATTATTAATGACGATTATCAATGATTAATCATCATAACTATAGTAAACAATGATCATTTACCTATAGAATTATAGTAAATGGTTGATTTACCCATTAATAGCATGGTGATTTTCCAAATCTTCACGTCGCTTCGGATGACCTCGGATGACCTCGGATGACCTCCTTGGGCGAATCGTATTGCCAGTCCCCTCAACCCATATAGATCGTTTATTGATTGTATGGTCATATATGTCATGTTCATTGTTTCAAGCCAACTTTCAGAGAAACCGGTCAGTCAAATCCGTTCAAGATAGAAATTAAAAGGGTAGAAACTAGTTTTGGGTTCTAGTTGTTGTTGCTTAAAACAGGTGTTTTGTGGTGGTTTTTGCTGCTTAAAACATGTTAAATTTATTGTGTATTTGTCAGTTTTGTGGTGGAATCACCATTCTGAAGTGAATCACATTCTGAAGTGGGTGAACTCCTCCTCCTCCTCCCCAGGTGTGAAATGCCGCATCGGTACCCATCAGACCTTAGCGGATCTGGAGCGGAACGGCGACCACTATGCAGCGGATCCCAGTGTCATCATGGCCGTTCGAGAAATCCATGGTGGTTTATAGTCACTCAACCCACAAGAAGATAGACCAGTAATTTATTGGGGATTAATTCATATTAAATCCATTAATGGGGATTTATATACCCATAATAACCATAATACATATATGTGCACGAGTTATAAAGACCTCACTGTTTTCCGTCGCTGGAATGATGGTGAATGTAAGGGAAATCATTGAACTTTTCAGCTATTTTCAGGCTAGTGAATTAGTATAATTCGGCTAAAAGAAACCCATGCTGCTTCACTGTTTGCTGTGGATTTTACCAATAAAAAAGGGGTATCTCTCAGTAACAATGGGGAGCTCACCTAAAGGGAATTTGAACCATCTAACCTTGGATTGCACAATCTTTTACAACAACGTTGGATTCCATTACCATTGACATTTTTTTTTAAAGTGGATTGAATCATGAACGCCATTTGACCATTAAAAACCTGGGTTTTACTTTCGGACATGGTGAACAGATCTGATTTGACCATTAAATATGGGGATGCAACCACCAAACATGGGGATTAAATTTTGAATTATGATAGGCTTCAGTTGGTTGATAGCTATGGTGAGTACTACAGACTTGATGATGGACATATCGACAGTTGACGGGGTTTATGAGCCAACTTGGCCCATTTTGTAGTCAGTAAGGTGGGAAGCAATTCCATTTTTTTTTTGGGTGTATATGTATGCACCAGGCCCTGCCACCCCCCCCCTCCCCCCCCCATATGGGATGGGTCCCATATACTGGTCCCATATGAGATCTTCCCCCTCCCCCCCTGTGGTGTGGTGGGGGTGTGGCACTGTCCCCCTCCCCCCCCTGTGGTGTGGTGGATGGGTCCCATATACTGGTCCCATATGAGATCTTCCCCCTCCCCCCCCTGTGGTGTGGTGGGGGTGTGGCACTGTCCCCCTCCCCCCCCTGTGGTGTGGTGGATGGGTCCCATATACTGGTCCCATATGAGATCTTCCCCCTCCCCCCCCTGTGGTGTGGTGGGGGTGTGGCACTGTCCCCCTCCCCCCCCTGTGGTGTGGTGGGGGTGTGGTATGGTATGGTGGGTATGTATGGTGTGTATGGTCGGTCTGGTATGGCATGTTTGGAAAGTATGGTATGTTTGGTATGTATGGTAGGTATGGTATGTATGGCATGAGTGGTTGGTATTGTATGGATGGTAGGTATGGTATGTAAGTCTGTTGGATATGGTATGTTTGATATGACAGTATGTATGGTCTGTATGGTATGTATGGTTACTATGATGGGTATGGAATATGTCCTATCTAAGGTAGGTATGGTATGTATGGCATGTATGCTTGCTATTGTATGTATGCTATTGTATGTATGGTAGGTGTGGTAATTACATTTCATATGTATGGTATGTATGGTATGTATGATAGATATGATAGGTATGGTATGCATGGCATCATTGACATGTATGGTAGGTACGGTATATGTTCAACAGAGGTAGTGTTGTCAGAGTACACAGGTAGTAAACAGGAAGTAGATACAGTAGATACATAGCACATGTATGTATGACTATAGGTAGCACGTAGGTACTTTGAAGGAGTATGTGTGCTACGTAGGTCGCCTAAAAGGTAGCATGTACCTAGTAAATGCGAGGCTGGTAGTCAGAAATGCTGCAAAGACCTAGCAAATACGACGCTGGACCTCAGAAATGCTGCCAATAGCTTGCAAATAGAAGGGAATTGTGGCTACTACCTGGGGACCCAACCCATGGGGGGGGGGTGGAGAGACGGAGGACGGGACCATGTATGTCTGGCTGTAGTACATTTGGTTGGAAAGATGGAAGACCAGCCAATTTCAGCCATTTCTGCCACTTCCGGATGGGTTCATCTACAGTACCACATGTCATGGGTTTCTTGCGATATCTTGTGGGTTTGGGCACGATTTTTTATCTGCAGAGGTAGACATCCTTTTCCCACAAGTTTGATGAACCAATGTGCCGCTTTTAAGGGCAATGCGGGAACACAATGCCAGAACCCATCCAGTCTTTGATGAAATATACCATCCGTTTATGGTAATTTGGCAGGTAACGTTTATGGTTCTGTGTTTACCAGGTTGAAAGGTACCAGACTGGGTAGCTTCTGGCTACACGGCCGAACAAACATCATATTCATCTGGAAGGCAAGCGAAAAGTATATCAACATGATTTACATGGCTGGAAACTAAATGATGTGTGCAAAACTGGTAAAAACTGATGAGTATAGTATACATGATTAGTAATACCATGATGATCCAGCCATTGTATTGCTTTTAGTCGTGTGTTAACTGGATGTGTTGCGCGAACAATGGGCAGAAACGGAACAGTGTGCAGAAACTAATTACAGCTGAAACTACGAAGAAATTATTCAAAGTGATCATGAAGGAGTCATAAGAGAGAAAATGTAATTTGGGCACCCATCGTATACCATCCGGTAATCAAACGTGGCAATGGAATCGCCCAATATATTTATATATATAGATGATTTTCCCATATTTTCCCAGTAAAGCCTTCATTGATAGAGAATTTCCCATTGCGATGATTGATGACCGGAGGCTACTTATGGATAAGAGTGCGTCAACTTCCAAGACACTCCCAAGCAGTGTTTTTGCACTGCCCTTCACTGTTGAAGGCAGGGAGAGATGCCAAAAATCATAATGAAACAAACCAGTAACTCCAACCGTAGGATAAATGCTGGATATACCCTCTGGGAACGTAGCTATGGAACATCAGCATGTTTCAAAACGTGTTATAGGTAAATCACCAAACATAATCTATAAATGGACCATTGTCCAAAGCTATTTTGGAGAACTAGAGGGTATCACGCCATTTCACTGTAATTGAATTATTTCAGGATTTTGGTGATTTATCCAGAATAGAAATTCTACATATTCTTAGTTACTTGATATTGTCTAATTCCCAATAATTCCCTGTTTGGCATATTAATAATACTGGATATATTGATAGATATATTGTATACTCACTGATCAATCCCACTAAAATTAGTAATGGAAAACTATATCTAATACCCACAAAAAAAGTATATTGAATCAAAGCCACTTAATCAGTGGGAATTTCAGGACCCTAAAATGGAGGCTTTGAAATGGCCATTGATTCAAATTAAATATATCACTCTTCAGTCCAATTGAACTAGCCTATGGCACTATGGTTCTTTGGCGTAGCTAGTTCCTAAGCACGATCTTTAAGGGCAGTAAATCATCATAAATCATCATGAATCATCGAACAAACTGGGCCATTCCTGTACCATTCCTATGTGATTTCTATCCAGAGGGTATCACTCCGTTTGAACTATATACAAAGTGGATAACTCTATATCCAATAGCCACATTAACATACATAACTACATGAAACATCATTAAACCCATTATATAGTTACAATATATATATATATATTTATTTATCACTAAATTCTAAGAACTAATATTGTTAGGTATCGATTTCAAGTTTATATCCAATATAATTATTCATAATACTGGAAATATCTAAACTGGATATAACATCACTCATCAATTGAACTATATATATATATACATATCAAAGCCATCACTCCCAGACTTTGACAATAATCAACTCCCGGCAATCGTTTTGTCCGAGGACACCCTGCTGAGCTTTGTTGATGCAGTGGCTGCTGGGAAGGCACAATGAACCGGGTTCAAATCTGCGAAGTCGTATGTTTCGTGGTACAAACCAGAATTTGTTTGGTAAAAAAACATATATATATATACATATTATAAAACATAGTTCTATGAAACAGATAAAACAAATAATAAGTAGACCCATTTTTTCTGGTAAATTCATGTTTCAGAACCTAGTTTTAGTGGCAAAACAACATTTAAGTGTCCTTGATTGATGTCGGGTTTGGCCGAGCTGCCCTCGATGGCGGCCCGATCATCCCCTTTCCCAGCTCGTGTTTTTTTGGGAAAACCATCCGTTGTTTGTTGTTTTCCCATGGTTGTTTACCATATGGGTATGTCTGAAAATGGAGTATACCCCCAATGAAATAACCATTTAGTAGGGATAATGATCAGCAAAACCATTGGGTAAAAAGAGGTACACAACATTTTCAGACAAACCCATATGTTTACCCATGTTTTTTTTGATTTCAACTCAATCACATGATGATCACATATGATCGATGCTGCGGAATGCTTTTGTTGGATTGGTATGTTCAACAGCAAGGTAGAGTTGTATCCCAGAGCATTTATTCAATAGAAACAACACCAGGTACCCTCTTCATAAAACATGGTTTTGCCACAACCTTAATAATGTATTTTTTTACTGCAGGGTACATACGTAGGTATTTTGCCAGGTTTTTCTCGCCATCGGACAGAAGCAAATCCTCCCTGGGGGGTGTTCTCCCACTTTCATGTTTATCCATTAAAAAAACAAACAACATCAAACCAAATTTAACATTTATGTAAAAACTACAGAGTAAGGGGTTTGTTTGAGACTATAGTACAGTCAACTTGGGCGAATTGCACATACTGGGGGATGGTCATAAATCCATTCATAGTCATTTATAGAACCATTAGAAGGAATGGCTAATGATATCTCATGATGATGGGATGACCATACCTCATATATATATAATATATGATATATATATATATCATGTTTGGATGTTTTGACCAATGCTCGTATACTCATACCCCAGGGATCCGATTCCATTTAGTTCCAGTATGATTGGAGGTTCCAATCACATCCTCGAACGGTAGTGACCTTTGGAAGGGGTGATTGGATTTCCATTTTCACATCAGATTGTTACTTTCCCAGCGTTGGTTGACAAACCCAGTTTTGCTGGTTACTTTAAAATCCCCGTATATTCGTACAATCAACCATAATTATGCTCAAGACATGGTAGGTATCTGTGGTACAGTGATGCCAACATCATGATTGAGTTTCCTTTGAATGGGTGTCCTTCTCATGCGGTCATACACTCAAGACAGGATACTCCCTAATCCACTTGTTAATCAACCTTCCTGAATGGGACTTTCAGGATCCACAAATAGAGGATAGTAGATGTGCCATACCATATTAAGCCATATTTGGGGGGCATATCCCCTTACATAGTCTTCAAAAAAAGGCTGTATGGATGTATGTATATATATATATATATATGGTAGGTACCTGAATGGAAATTTATATGGATGTATTTATGCATATGGAATTTATGTATATATATATTCTTAATAAGGTACCTGAATTCCATATGTATGTATATATATATATACTAAGAAACAAGTTCATGAAATGACCATTAATTTAACTACTAAATGGAACATCAAACCAAATCCTCTATAGATTAAATGGTGTTTTAATATCAAACCAAATCCTCTACAAGTCTACAAATTGTCATAAATAGTGGATTGTCCATTGCTATGTTCTACAACCAGGGCATATATCAACTTCATAGCAGGTGAAACGCTTTGCGGTGCATGCGCGAAGTGGTATCTTGGCGGGCCTGAAAGCGAGTGTCTCGGCGCGGTTTCTCCGACTTCCCGCAGCTGTGTATGGTTTGTGATTTGATTTCATGTGCTTAAAACAATAATAAACCAGCCATGACTGGGAATGGTAAGCATACCACCTGTTTTTGGTGAATTTGGGGCTGGTTTCTGACATTGTTTTACCAACATTACCATGTTTATTGGAGCAAGATGGTGTTTACCTCATCCTCAAAAGAAATGGGACGAGGTTGGTTCTCAGGAGCTTCTCAAAAGATATCTTACTTGTTGTGAATTCATATATGTGTCCTGGCAAAAGTTGGATATATCATGAATTTATCATGATCTATAACCATATTGGGAGATGGTTGCTAAATGTTATTAATCAATTTTATGCACTTGCCATAAATAATGAATAATAATGGATGGATCGGATTATTAAAATATGCATCCATATGGACCATAATTATTAATATGTATTACCCTCTGGTAAACTAACATAGACCTTGAAAACACCAAATTTCTAGTGGAAACTAGTCTTTCAACCCCTGTCTGCCAGGGTCTATGTTAATTTACTGGAGGGTAATCCATAATTCGGAACATATTTCTGCACTTATTATGTTCCGAATCCCCTTCAGGTGAGATGACCGTGAACCAAAAATACCAGTGATTGGGGTCAGCTGATGTGACTCGAATTTGCGACTTTGTACTGCCTATATATATATATACTTAGTTGCAATTGACACATTTAAACCACATTCACATACAGTTACTATAGGTCTCTGATTCACTGCCTGAAAAGATACCTGGCCTGCGACTGAAACCTCTCTTGGCGCTTCCTGATTTTCCTGCCCGGGCCCTCGGGAAGAGATGGATGGGGGTACAATGGGGTACAAGGTGAGGGCTCCCAGTGATGTTTTGTTGTTCTATAAAGATTATAAAGCAATTAAAAGATCCATTTAGATCCATTAACAAACCATCAACAACCATTAACATCCCTTAACATCCATTAATTATATAACATCCATTAAACATCCAGCTATACCCCTATCAATCCAAACGTTAAGCCAAGTGATGTGCAAAACCTCACCTTGTATTAGGCAAAGGGAATCAAAAGGACACATTAGGATGGCTGATTTGTAGAACGGATGACATATTTAGGATGATTCAGTATAGTGACATTTAGGATGTATGATGATATACCACAGTATTACCACAGTATATACGTCATGGATGTTTTTCTAATCAGTATAAATAGCACGATATATTACACACTGTATGATTTGTGGATCATTTTCCCAAGAACAGATAAAGAAAGGCTGTAAACAGGTGTTCCACGCATGAACGGCTTTGCAGAGGTGAATCGTCTAGCCAATTAATAATTAGCATAGTGTGCCAAACATCTTCCAAAGTCATGGGCTTGAGCATTTTCAGGGCATTTTGTTCCACTTCAAGTTTCACCCATGGCGATTCATGTTGAGATCCTTGCTGCCAAGCTCTCGCAGCACTATTACCTGGATGGTCTCGCAGTGACCGCACTACTTCTGCTGATGACGGCAGGCTTCCTGGTGCCAAAGGATTCACCGCTGGACCAGTGGACCGGCTTGGCGCATACTGAGCAGCCGCTGCTTTGCTTGGCCGTGTCTTGGGTGTGTTGAGTCGCTTGTTTTTCATGTCCCAATGGGAAATTCACTGGGAAATCTTTGTTGGGAATATGTGTTGTTTTTAGGTTCCAGCAAATCCAAGGTGTGCTTTGTGGCGGAAGGGCTGCTGTGCTGGAAACTGGTGGCCGCAATGAAAGAGAGACCTGGACAAACTGCTGAATCAAGAAAGTGAGTCCTTGTCCCACGTGATTAATCGACTACCCCACTATTTAGATCTATTTGGGGAGCTATTTTATTTTTTGGGGGGCATTGGGTACTTACTGCTGCTGTTTTCATGTTTTTTATCCATCCTACCTTGGATGATGAACCCGACTGACACACATATCTATATACTTTGTTTGTTTGTTTGTTTGTTTGTTTGTTTGTTTGTTTGCCTGTCTGTCCGTCCGTCTATTTTCTCCATGTTTCTGTCTTTCGTTCGTTCCGTCTTTCTGTCTTTCTATCTTATCCATACATCCATCTACATTCATTTGGGTTTGGCTGAAAGCAACCAGGCGGGAAGGCAACATAGCGTCATGGTTGCTGGCGAATGGGCTTTCGACCTCTGCCAGCCTGGTTGGCATGTCGACCTCAATGGCAAAGTTCATCTTCATTCACCAATATGCTCCTGGATTATTAGAGATCTAGATGTTGAATGTTTTTGTTTTAAGTTTTAAGTATTTTTAAGTTTTTCTTTTGCGGATTGAATGGGTGTATCAAGTCTACCATTTCTCCTCAAAGAATATATCTAGACCCTCCAAATATACACCCAAAAGATCTGAATCGACAGCCAAGGCTGAGAGTTGCTGGACAGCCGGCCTGCTCTATATGTCATATGCTGCTGCAAAGGTCAGCAAGTTGGTCCTCGTCTTCCGCTTTTCACGCGGCCTTGAAAGAGGTGACTGAAGGAAAATACTGGGAACATGTGGATGATATGGGATTTATAGGGGATTTATAGGGGATTTATATAGGAGTCAAGCATCAATATATGGGGCCCAAAAGGGGGGTTCCTTCAAATTCTTGAGTCGGTTCCTACAGGTTACGAGGAGTTTGAAGCTGACACCGAGGGATCGGAGGCTCCAGAGCAACCTCTGAAGAGAACCTTGAGGTTGAAGAGATTGTTGTGTATCCTGTGGTCAGCCACGATGGTCGTTTCCCCTGCAATTCTCTTGATCCTATACTTCATGTCGGCCAATGTGACCAATGGCCAGGAGGAAACTGACCGGAGATTAGCAGAGGTGGAAAAGGAGGTCTGTCAGATGAGTAGCAAAATGACGATTGCAGGAGGCCTGGTTTGGTTTCTTGGCTTTGCCATTAACACACTGATTCTTGTCATGGTCGCTGGCGCCTTGGCAGTTGCTACCGACGGTCCCGCGGCGCTTCCCGTGGCGCTTGTTTGGATCATCTGCGTTGCTGAGAATCTGGGGCGAGTTTCACGATATACAAAATGTTGTCTTGAGATGTGGGAAATGTTTCGGAAGACCACATTTGCATTTGCCATTCTGCCACCGCGAGTCAGATTTGGTTGCGACTAGTGGCTTCAAAGAAACCGGAAGGCGGGCATAATGACATGGAAACAACATATATATATTATATATATATATATATTATACGTATATATACATACATGCTCCCAAAGACATGGAGGGATGAATGAAGCTATCAAATTTCATGGGTTTTCTGTTGCCCGATTTTGACCCGACTCAGAGATCTCACTTCAACATTTTGCAAGGTAGTATTCTCCCAGTTGACTCACAAATTGGAACCCATCTTAAGCATGTCCACAACATTGGTTCGCCTGAACTGCTAAAGTCCGCCTCCGGCTAGTGGTGCGTTTGAGCACGCCATAAGTTCTAATTCGCTTATGCTCGGACATGCTCAAAAGGCCTGCCAGCAAAAGATGCGCTGATCGTAAGAAATCTACTTGAAAATGGCTGAAAATGGGGAACTCCAATTACTGCTATTCTTCACCATGTCTTTGAACCAAAAGTCACCTTTGGTATATTCTCCATTTTGAGACAAAACGTTTGCCCGACAAATTGCCATGCATTCCATCTTGAGCATGGTCTCAGCGCCGAGGTTCAACATCAATGATGAGCTCTTCTTGAAGGGCTGTTTCCGATGTTCAACTCTACTATCTTGGTGAAATTGGCTAAAAAATATAGGCAAATTAGGGTTTGAGGTAGATATGTCATGTCTTTATTTAAAAAATATAAATAGTTTGGCTATGTTTGGCTCATCACGGGCTTGGCTCATCACTAGGGTTTGTATAGATATGATATACTCTGCCTACTAGAGTTATCCACTTCCAAGAAAAACTAAAACTCAAGTTGTCGCAATAGAGCTATCCACACTCAAGATGCTACAACCCGTTAACAAAACGACGTCCGTTCAACGCACCCGACAACGCCCCAAGCAAATAGAGTTGGGCACTTTTTTGTTGTTCTGCAACGCACATGTTCTGGACCATAGAGTTCGCCCGCACCTCTCGCAAAATCATCTGGAGGCGTCTCTTGTAGCCGCTAGCCTTTATATGTGTATATATATATATATAACATATCTCTACATAGTTTTTACTGACAGCCTATTGGGTTTGTGGTAAATATATTTCACTCACTAGTTGAGCCCAACAAGTTCGTTTGGGTTCCGACCAGCGTAATTTTTTTGGCCAACCAGTTCCAGGACAGTGAAACAAGATTTCAAAGGTGAGCCAACTCTTACAGGAACACAATAGGAATGGAAATTATTCTGATATTTTCCGACTAACTATTTTTTCTCGCATTTTGACACGTTTTCTCACCACTGGGATGTTTTTCTTTATTCTGAGAAATCAGAATAGAAATATGGTGAGTTGAATCACCCATTTATATATCAATTATATATCCATATGTCTGATAGTTGAGTTTGTTTTTGCCAGCTATATAGAAAACAATTTATGACAGTGGAAATGGGGCTTGCAAACCAGCTCAACTTTTATTGAAATGGATGTTGTATAACTATTTTCAGTTGATATCCATGTACATGGTTTGCAAAAAACTATCATAAATATGAATAGTTTTGCAACATGGATATCAACTAAATAGTTTTACCACAATGAAATGGTTGATATAACTATGGTTGTTTCAACTCACCATTGTTCTTGGTGAATGTTGTTTGTTACAACCAGCGACTGGAGGCCGCCTTGAATGTGCATCCCATTAATACAACCGGCAAAATATTCCACCAACTGGCGATATCCCACCTCGAACTGCTGATATCCCTTTTATAATATATATATATAGTTATAATATATATATATATGTATATTCAGAGATTCAGACATATTATGCATATATATATGTAATTATATATATATGTATAATATTTTGACTATTGGGGCTATGTTCTACTAGTCTAACTGGGGTATTTCTATGTTGCTTACCCGGCTATGATGGATCTAAGTGCCGCACCCCAGTTGACTGCTCGCCGCTGTGAGGCGAAAATCGAAAGACACCTCCTCTCCATCATGCGGCTTGGACAGCTGGTGCCCTATCTGTGTCAACTGCTATCAATGGTACATGATGTAAACTGTACTATAAATAGCCAACTAAAAATGTAACATGTAATGTACTAACCAGCTAAAGAATGTTTTTGTTTGGCATGTATCTAAGATTCGCAAGCTATGGGGTACCCTTGTTTAGATGGTAAAATCGTCTACACAGCTTGATTATTTTGTCATTGCCATCTTTGATTATTAGAGGATACCCCAAAATTAGATGGATGAGAGAACCATGTTTGCTATTAAACATGGCCGGTTATTCACCCCGCTTCGCGTGGGGTGGCCGCCCACACCGCAGGTTTATTTCGGTCCGTGAGAGGGGCTAAGGGTGGTTTCCCCCGTGGGGGCTCCCCAAGCTAAGAATTTTCACTTTCCCCCCCCATGGGGGCTCCCCAAGCTAGGGAATTTTCACTTTTCCCCCCTGTGGGGGCTCCCCAAGCTGGGGAATTTTCACTTTTCCCCCCCGTGGGGGCTCCCCAAGCTAGGGAATTTTCACTTTTCCCCCCCGTCAGGGCTCCCCAAGCTAGGGAATTTTCACTTTTCCCCCCCGTGGGGGCTCCCCAAGCTAGGGAATTTTCACTTTTCCCCCCCGTGGGGGCTCCCCAAGCTAGGGAATTTTCACTTTTCCCCCCGTGGGGGCTCCCCAAGCTAGGGAATTTTCACTTTTCCCCCCCGTGGGGGCTTCCCAAGCTAGGGAATTTTCACTTTTCCCCGCCGTGACAGCTTCCCAAGCTATGGAATTTTCACTTTTCCCTCCCTTGGAGGCTCTCCAAGCTGCGGAATTTCAAATAGCTAGACAACGACGCCTAGATAGTCCCCCAAATCCCGTGTTCTTTGAATGTGTTTCCATGTTTTTGCAATGGTTTCCTTCAAAGCACGGTACTTTACACTTTTGTCGCCATAAAACCGGTCGAAAACATCATGTTCTACAATGCTTCCAATTCCCTTATCTCCCCAACCGTTGAAAATACCGCTATTTACAGTGTTTTCTTCAATTTTTCCATGTGCCAATGCCGGTAGCCAACTCCAACATATATATAAGAAATCCTTCCAAAACATTTTTTTTGACAGTGTTTTTTCAATGTTTCCAGTCAAACAGACGGTAATTTACACGTTTTTTGCAATAAGGCAGCAAATCCTTCCAAAACATTGCTTTTGACAGTGTTTTTGTAATGTTTCCAGTCAAGCATACGGTAATTTACACGTTTTTTGCTATAACGTCAGTCCAAAACACTTGTTTTTGCAGTGTTTTCAATGCTCTGGCATCCAAAAACCCTGCAAAATCTTGCTATGTACAATGTTTTTTTCATTTTTGGCCGTTTTTCCATTGCCGGAAAGCTACCAAAATAACCCAAAATTCCATTTCAATACCCTCTTGCGCTCAGACACCCAAAAATCCTCGAAAAATGTCGAAAACACCACCGTATTCTGGTCTCGGTGCGAAACCGTTTTTTTGGCCCCCCCCCCAGCTAAAGCTGATATAGCGACTGCTATATTAACAATTTTTTTTTGAGCATTTAGTGTTGCTGTTGCCCCCCAATAAGCACGCCTTCACCGCCAAAGCGGTGTTGGCGGATTTTATGTAATTGTTTGGGATGCTTACTCCGTTTCAACAGACACCTCCACAAATTGATGTGTCATTTCATGCTCAACTAGGCTTAGCTTGCAGGTTGGGAAGATCCATCTAGCTAAAGACAGATCAATGGACACTAACACATGGGTGTTACATTTGTTTGGGATGCTATTGGTTCATCGAAAGTTCAGTGCCATGGATGGCAAGCGCAAGATGCAGTTTGGTATATATCATGGTTGTGTCAACCCAGGATTCATAAACCCTCACTTTATTGCAGCAATGGGCGGGTAGTTATAATTTGGTGGATAACCCTATATGATATATAAATGAGCTGGATTTTAGTAGGGAGACCACCCTATATACATGTACATCATCAATAATATATATATATATATTTACATTTGTATATATATATACACATATATATACAGATATGTATATATAATTTTATATATATATATTATGCATATATATATATACACATACATTATATATATATATATGTATAATATATATTATATATACATGAGCCGGATTGTATTTAATTCGGGCTTGACATGGCGATATTCCAGGTCGTGCTCACCAGTTTCTTTCGACATGTGAAACAAGTCGTACTGCTCTGCTTGGTTCACCCCCAAAAATCTTTGTAAAAAGAATGGTTTCTTCTAGATTGTTCCTGAAACCCATCTATGTGGTATATTTCATTAAATATAATAGTGTAGATATGGTACGATATAGCTGTATCTTACATTGAGTGCATAGTATAAAACTACGTCTGGTGACTGTCACCCTCTGGTAAACTAAAAGTTTGCGAACTGGAAAATGATAATTTTAGATAGGCAAGTCATCTATAACTGGGCCATTTTCCATTGCCATCTATTGCTACAATTTATTTCCATTGCTTCCATGGTATGTTCAGCGTTTATCATCTTAGGATTTCGTCTATCGGCTGCAAGCAGAACGCCCTGAGCTTGAAGTCATACTCAATGGAGGAGCTGCCTGGCTTGCGCCCACGTGTATGGACCTTCGGGGTATGTATCGTCATCCTGAAGTAGATATGCCAAAAAACATCACTAGTTTGGGAATATGTTTGAAACATTCTATGTTCTATCTTCTTCAGGATGATTACATATATGCCAACCCTCAAAAGAACAAAAGATAGATAAATCCGACCGAAATACCTGTACATACAACATGCTTTATGTTTGATAGCTGAGTTGGTTTGATAAAACTGCAACCCCCCAAGAAAAACTAAAGTTACAATTACCAAAGACTCTAGTTACTAACTACTAGTGAACTCAACCGGCATAGCTGACTATGTGGCACCGAAGGTGCGAAATGGTCACTTGGTTCACCCCTATTAGCCAGGGTGAATAGCAACTGGTTGGTTATGATCCCAGCTTCTGTTCTTGATATTTCCCAGTTTTGTTTCTTGCAATGCTTTTGTTTCTTGGTTGGAACCTTCTTTCTCTGCTTGTGAAACAACGAGTGGCTGCCAGCTGAAGTCCTCACGAACTGAATCCATATTCTCGAATCGATCCCATTGTGATCTCGCCAGCTAATATGCTAATATTGAATTATCAACAAAGTGGGAAATCAACATTATTCAGCATGAGTCAAGGTTTTCTACATGAGGGGATGGATCAAAACTTATGTTTCATGTTTTGTCTTGTAACCGCAGGGGCATTCAATGTTCTCCCATGAGCAGTGTTCAACATCCGTGTCGGCTGATTATCATATGGGGTTGTGCTATCCAATACCTTGATATCTATATCTATGAGTATATATATATATATATTATGTACATATACCTATCAGAATATATGAATCCATGCTGGGAAATATGTTCTTAACAAGCCAGTATAAAGGGACGACCCTGTCCGAACCACTGCAAACGACTGGAGGAGCATCCCGCGAATCGAAAGTGGCTAGTGACCCAATCGTTAGTAAGTCCCCTAAGTAGGCTATCCAATGAATGGATCGGATAAACTGAGTAAGGTACTACGACCTCGCTTGCACCTCACTGGAATGATGGTAAGGATAACTATGTTGCAGCTGAACATATCATCAGGTTAGTATAAGGGATAATATTTACGCAGAACTGATGATATTTAGCTGAAAAGATAACTAATGTTCCTAGAAGTATCATGTTTATTGGTCTTTTTTTCAGGTTTTATAGTAGGTTAGTGAATGATTATTTACCTATAGAACTATACTGATTGGTGGTTTGGAACATTTGGATTATGTTTCCATATTTTGGGAATTTCATCATACCAACTGATTTTCATATTTTTCAGAGGAGTAGGTCAACCACCAACCAGCTATAGATCATTATTAATGCGCATTACCAATGATTAATCATCATAACTGTAGTAGATAATGATCATTAATAATAGAACATTATATGTTCTGTTAATAATGATCATTAATAAACATATAGTTCTATTAATAGTAGATAGTGACTAATAAACAACTGGTAATAGAACTATATGTTTATTCACCATTCATCAGCACTTTATTGGTGCATGGGATGCTCCCAGGTCCCTTGGAAACTTCCTCCGAGGTGTGCAGTCAACAGGACCTGGACCGTGCTCGGCAGCGAGGTGGGGCTGAGATAGTTTTTTTTTGTGACAAAAAAGGGTGGTATGTCATGGGGTGATCATTCAATAGTTCATGGGGTTGATATGGGATCTATATGGGATTCATATGGGATTTTCTAAGATTCATTGATGGTTGTCAGAACAGGTGAGAGATATAAAATAGGACTTTAAAACAACCATAAGATGCCAATGTTCAAGGCAAGACATCTGAGATTGTACCAACAAGAATGGCTGAATCTCAATGGAGTTAACCGTCCTCCCCATTGAACATAGACCCTGCCATGAGTGCTTTGGAAAACTACTTTCCGCTGCTGGTGATTCTGTCTGTGTTCGGTTTCCTGGGATGCTTGGGATGTGTTTGAACGAACCATCTTGATTGAGAAACGCAAGAATAAATGGGACAGCATCCAACATGTTCGACAAACATGTTGTATTGAAACAAGCACGAGTGAGTCGTGTATGCATGGTTTAACATGGTTTAACCTTTTTTCATGCAACAAACATGTGGGCACTGTTACAGTGCTTCCCAACCAATGTTGATATGTCATGGGATGTAACTAAGAATGTGGGGTACATGGGTTAGTCCAGAAATGGAGGATTTAGTTCCAACAAGTATGTATGATTTCATGGAAAATTCGGGGTTTAAACATGTTCGCTGCAACCCTGACGTTGCTCCGCGTCTGACTTCAGGTGGCTATGGAGATAAAGTTGATGTTATTACCCCAACCAACATATTTTGTTTATAGGGGTTTGCGAATTTTGATCCCTCATGAAGATAAAGTTGATGCTATTACCCCAACCAACATATTGTTCATAGGGGGTGGCGAATCTTGATCCCTCATGGAGATATAGTTGATGTTATTACCCCAATCAACATATTGGTCAGAGGGGGTGACGAATTTTGACCCATCATGAAGATAAAGTTGATGTTAATACCCCAGTGAACATCTTGTTCAGAGGGGGTGGCGAATTTTAGTGTGATCATGATCATGATGTGATGATGTGATGATGATGATGATGATGATGATGATGATGGTCATGACGATTGTAAGTGTGGAGCAATGTCCGGGTTGGGGCGAACATGTTTAAACCAATGGATTTGTCGGGTACACTATTTTCAGTAAGGAAACTACTAAACTTGATTGAGGGCATCTAAGGGCATATTTCTTGCCATCGTCAGAGGATGTTGTTGTGTGTGAAATTCAACCGGACCCCAGTTTGACTTCAACAATTTTTATACCTTTTCAGGGTAGATTGAAATCTCACAGCAGATTCAACAGGGAATACACATGTCAGTTCATATCAGCAAAACAGACGAACAGATTATATAATTGTGCATATGGCCTATATGTCATCACTGGAGGGACTTTCATTGGTTACCACGGACTACATATACCTGTCATTATGTATACAGAATCCCACTAAGAGAACTGTGTCCATTAGCCACCACGGTTTAATTGTGAGTGGTTCATATACCGGATGAATTGAATACTAACCCCTCGTGGTAACTCATTGATTTTCTTCAGTTTGCAACATCAACAGTGTCAAGCGGCACATGATTTACAACTTGAGATTGTCCATTGCTTCTCATGGTGCCTCTAAGAATGATTTCCTCCGTTTGGGGCCATGCTGGCCTTATATAGTCGCAGTGTGATCCCGTGTGACAACGCAGGGGTTACCTCCACTGTGCTATGGTTTCCGGAGGGCAGAGTCATACCGTGCTTCTGCAAAACGATGGTCGTGCTATTGCTTTTGGCTGGATGAAGCATGAGAAAGATTTCTTCGTGTCCCTCGGAGACGCAGATGAAGATGAGGGCAGATTCGCGTTTGGGTCAGCCATCTGAAGTGATTCCACAGCTTTTCAAAAGTGTTCAGCATACTGTGGGGAAGGCATATTGGCGATGCCGATATCCCACCTTTGGAGAAAGACATATCCTACATCCAGGTTTCTGCAGGTGAGATGTACACTGTGCTTCTCCGAAGCGATAGTGACGTTGTGGCTTCCGGCTGGGATAGGTATGGACAATGCACCATTCCAGAGTTGGAGGAAGGAGTATCCTACACAGGTTTCTGCTGGAGGTTTTCATACAGTGCCACTTCGAACTGATGGGAGTGCCGTGGCCTGTGGAAGGAACGTAGATGGAGAATGTAGCGTTCAACCCCTGTGTGATGGAATGTCATACACGCAAGTTTCTGCAGGGAGGAACGAAACACTGCTTCTCTGAAGTGATGGTCATGCTGTGGCTTGCAGTGTTGATACATGCCACATTCCTCTTTTGGCTGATTGACATACATCCGGGTGTCTGCTGGCTTGAAACACCGAGTTTTTCTCCGAAGTGATGGGTCGTGGCTTCTGGTTGCAATTTTTATGGGCAATGTCAGATTCCGGTCCTGGAGAATTTGGAGAAAGGCCTCTCCTACAGGTTTCAGCTGGTCAGAATCACACCGTTCCCCCTTTTGATGGAAAGAATGCGCTACACCCAGGAACGGCTGGAGGGTCAAAACATGTCAAAACCCTGGGTTCCGTAAACCCCGTTTTTCTAAGTCATGGAGGTATCTCCAATCATCCAGTCGTCATGACGAAGTGATGGTCGTGCCACGTAGCTGAAGGAATGAAGATGGGCAATGCAACATTCCTTTCCCGGGGCCTGGAATTCATTACATCGTTGATAGATGTTGATAGTAGGCCTGTTGGCAATGATCTTTTTCTGCAACTGGATCTTGCTTGTGAAAATGACTCATGAATGTGCTGCCTTGATTTGCTTAGTTTTCGTTGTTTGTTTTCCCAAGAATCCGCCATTAGGAGAATCTATTTGTCCAAGAATGGGGTACTGTAAAATTGCTTTTTGAAGGGGGTAGTAAGTGAGTCTGGCCATGAGGAGCTTTGCTTGCGTGCAAGTCCGCCCGCTCTTGCCATGGATGTGTACAAGCAGCAAGCACATGGCACATGAATTGAACCTGGGTTAATTGTGGCCACATTTCGCTTTTGATTCTTTGCCTTTTACAGGTTTAGGATGTGTATATCCCAACATATCCCAACATGAAACCTTTAGATTTTTAGCTTTTGGGGTTTTAGGATGGGTAAACACCACACATCCCATGACAAACTTCAACATGTTCAACAGGGGATGAACCGAAAAAAACAAGGAACGTGCCACTCCCGAGTCTTCGAGTGGTGTTGCCCAACAGAAAGTTGCTGTCAGCAATCTGTAGAGTACATCCAATGGCGACAGTATAGAAGCTGAGTGAACTTGGTGCTAGTGAATGATCTTCTTCGATGATCGTTTCTCAGTCGTGGTGGAAGAGTTTCACTTAGCCCCAAAGGACGCAGCGAACAGAGTGCGAACCATTTGCCATCATTTGCCAAAAAGTTGCTACATAACCTGAGGAATGGTTATATTCAACAGAAAAACATATTTTAAACCCACACGAAGACAACAGTGCATGTGGTTATTACTTATTTTTATGATGTCAGAGATGTTCAGAATTATTTGTTCCCCCGTGCAGGCACAGTCTATTAACATGGTCCATTGTTCCATGGCTATGCCAAATCCAGAGCGTACTTGGACAAACCCATAGAACATATATGAAAATATTCGAGATGATCCACATTTACCGCATGATATGGCAACCCTGTGACGCCTGCAGCTTTTCTGATCAAGCCGTCGGTTTTGGTATGCTGGCTGCGTCATGATTCTGCCAAAGACAGCGTATCATGTGGTAAACCCAAGAATAAACCATCCAAAATCACCGCAAATGCTTGGTATAAACCATCCCAAATGGTAGCTTTATGGCAGCCATGCAACTGTCCCGGCCTTGGTGTTCGGGTATCTCCCAGGTGTAACTTGATTTAAAGCCATTAAAAACAGGAATCTCCTATATCCAGCATAAATCCTAGTCATAGAATTATTGAAATAGATTGAATTATAATGAATTAGATAAACCAACAGGAACCTACTTTAGGAGCCCCACCTTGATCTCGGGACTCCTGAACGCACCCCGCGATGGTCTCGGGTGGCCGGAATCATACCGTTCTCCTGCAAAGCGATGGCCGTGCGGTGGCGTGTGGTAAGAATGATGATGGAAATGACACATCTGCAGATGAGGAGCCTCAGTTGGTTTGTTTTCACCTGGAACAACGCGGATTCGTCAATTATGTCCTCTTTGGGATTTGAAACATCACCGATTTGGCTAGAAGTAGTTGTCTTGCAACAATAATATGGGATTTCAGGAAAACATTGGACTACATTCAAGGAAAATGAGAAATCGTCCTTGAAAAGTGAAAATTCATCCTTAAAAAATGGGAATTCAACAAACGTAAAGCATTATCCTCCAGTCAAGGAACTTAGACCCTGCCAAATAGGGGGTGGAAGATTAGTTTCTACTAAAATTGGTTATTTTCGCATATGTTAACTTATTTTCAGGGTCACACTGTTTTCCTTGGGGAGAGGGTGTCCGAAATGTCACCAGCTTAGGATGAATCAACATTTAAGCCCGGCCTATGGGACCACAGATTTTAGTGTTTAGTATGAACCCCATGGGGTACCCAATTTTGACACCCAGCTGATGATGAATTTGAAGATGATTGTTGATTTTCTGGAAAGTCACCACTTGGGGAATCCCCAAAAGGGGATCCCTTATTTTTGGGGGGAAGACGCTTTCTGGGTCGCAAATCCTGGGGCAGAGGATGAGTTTGAAGATGGAACCTATGATCCTGGCAGTCCCAAAAAAACGCGTGAAAAGCACTACGGTCGAGCCATTGCATGTGGAGTCACTGCTGGTGGACGCTGCGACATTCCGCCTTTGGAGGTGCTGCAACTGCTGCAACAAAAATACGCTTGGATCTGTTGGATCCATCCGGTCCTGGGAAATCCCCGAACTACATGGAACTTTGGGAAAAACACGGGGAAAATATGGGAAAATCCCCGAACCAAATGAAGGTTTCGTTGGGAAAGTCATCTACAACTGAAGGGTTTTCCAGCCAGCCATGCTTGATCACCAGAGGGTAAGTCACAAAAAATGAGAATTTCACCAGCAAGAATTCTGGCTTGGTTTTGGTATATACAATTGAGCTTCAGCCAGATTTGAAGTATGCTAAGGAGAGGAGAATGAATAGGTGACTTAGCCTCATTATTCAGCTCAAAAAAATATGCCTGGTAGTTGGTGTGTTGGCCACACTTGTTGCGAGATATGATACATACTAAATCCCAGAAAATAAGTATATACCCCCAATATCCCCGGGAATATCCCCTAATCAATATCAATCAATGGTTTACCATCCTGGACATCAACAGTTCTTTTTGACTCACGAAAAAATCCGGGTGATTTGCCAGGACGGACTATTCTACACGCAGGTCTCTGCCGGGGCCTTTCATACGGTGCTTCTGCGCAGTGATGGCTGCGCTGTGGCCTGTGGGGAAAATGGCTATGGAGAATGCGAGATTCCACCGTTAGATCATGGTTTGTCATTCGCGCAGGTGGGGACTGTCTAGAAATGTGGCGTTTACATCCCTTGAGGATCCTGTAGGTGGGCTTGAGGATAGATGGGCTGGTCCACGAGACCATCATTCTTTGGGGATCTCATCAAGAAACTGAGGGGGGGTGATTTGATAACCAGCAATGTTTCCCAAAGATCGGTACCCCCCAAATCATCAATTCTAGTGGGACTTTCCATGACATAAACCATCCAGCTATTGGGGATTTCCGATTTTTTGGAGACCTCCATATCAGCAACATGATGGCCTTTACTATCTTTTTGGGAATGCTTGCCCTGGACACGTAGAATATGGGGGTTGAACCAACAGGTTTAAACGGAGAATAATTGTCACAACCAAAACGTTCGTCTAAATATGCTATTGGAACAACCATGTTTTCCATGAGCTCAGTCTGCAAATGTTCAGGTCAAACTCCTATTTTCCCTCGTGTAACCCCCCCATTGTTTGGGAAAATGTTCAGGTCTCTGCAGGTGGGAATCACACCGTGCTTCTCCGAAGTGATGGACATGCTGTGGCCTGCGGGCAGAATATTTTTGGACAATGCAACGTACCTCCGCTGGCCGAAGGAATGACATACACTCAGGTGAGGATGGGTCGCTATTGAGGGGATTTCGCCATGGGTAACAGGGTGTTTCATTTTGCGGGTGATTTTGGATTTCCCCACGGGTACTTCCACCATGACAGGGGACAGGATTCTTTATTTTGTGGTCATTTAAAGCAAATCCAAGCAGGTTTCAGCAGGTGAGACGCATAGCGTTTTCCTCCGCAGTGATGGCTGTGTTTTTGCTAGTGGAGTCCACGATAGTGGACCTTGCATCATTCCAATGCTGGATAAGAAGACAGTCTACACCCAAGTTTCTGCCGGCCAGAGTCAAATCACAGTTCTTCTGGCGAGTGACGGCCGCGCTGTAGTTTGCGGGGGCACTGGTGATGCAAAATGCCACATTCCCCAGTTGGAAGTTGGGATGTCATACACCCAGGTCTCGGCGGGCGGCAATCACACCCTTCTTCTCCGAAGCGATGGCAATGTCGTGGCCAGTGGGAGCAACGATGAGGGCCAGTGCAACATTCCACTGCTGGAGCAGGGCCTCTCCTATAGCCAGGTGGCTGCTGGGGCAAACCATACCATTCTTCTCCGAAGTGATGGCCGTGCGGTGGCGGTTGGGGATAATGAGGAAGGACAATGCAACATTCCCAATCTGGATCCTGGAACTCATTACATCGTTGATAGTAGGCCTGTTGGCAATGATCTTATTCTGCAACTGGATCTTGTTTGTGAAGATGAGTCATTCATGCTTCCTAGATTTGCTCAGTCGTTTTCTTTGTGCTGCCGCGGTTGAATCTGCCAACATACCCGAACCTATTTGGGAACATATATATATATATATACACGTTATTTGTTAATCTTCTTTCGCCGTTTTGGGGCCCCTGAAAATCAAAACAATGCTGCCAATGCTGCCCGCCAGGCTGACATGCTCTGGCTTGACTGGTCATGAAGTACTGTGTGTACGCGCAGCCCCTTCAGCTCTAGCACTGGATGTTCACAAGCACATTGCACATGAGCTGAACGTTCAGCTTCAAAGCCTCCGGGTGGTTTTGCCCAATGGCCAGCTGCTGGCAGCCATCTGCAGAGCACATCCACTGACCACCGTGGCAAAGTTGAATGAACTTGGAAATGGATGAGATCCACGGAAGAGTTTCACTTCAGTCCATAAAAAAGTGGGTGCCGCCCTTTGAAAATTGTGAAAGCTGTATATGCAGTATTCATAGTCTTGGAATGTCTTGGATGTTAATGTCATTTAATAGCTCCAGTAAATTAACGTAGATATGGAAGACCCTTCGATTTGAGGATCACTTTCATCGAGAAAACATTTGTTTAATGGGCCGAGTGTTGAAGAGATGATGAGATAAGGCCAATCGAGGCCTGCAAAGTAGCCACTTGGTACATGTAGCAGCATCGAATGGCCTTAATTAATGTGACAATGTATGTAAATGTGGTTGATTAATGTAACCCATGTTGTTTTCAGCAGTGTTTTGATTTGATGTGCTTTGCCCAAACGGTCTACATGTCCTGCATACCGAGGATGATATCAAAACAAGTCAAAACATGTCTTCGTTTTCCCGGTCCTTTCCCATAAGTTTCACACGGACACTCCGGTCAAACAATCCCTTTCTTTGCGTTTGTAAACCCATCTCTTGATTTCACCATCATTAATGATCCCTTCAGGACGACCTTTGAGGTGTACCCTCCAGCAATCAAACATGGTTTGCTGACAATGCCCCATTCAGTTAAATGCTTTTCCCAGCTATAGACATCCATTTATAGGGCCCGTTCAGATCTAGCAAATCTTCCAAAACAAAATGCCATTAGACTATTAGACCGTAATGTTTTTTCTTCAAAACATTGAACTACCATGAATCGCCAGCCATGGGGATTTTAATGGATTTCATGGATTTCCCCATGAATATCCCATGAAAATCTCCCCATTTTCCCAGCATTGTTCCCAGCCACATCGGATGGGCCAGGTCTCGAGGTCATGATCGGTCGCTGGGCGGTGCAACATCCCTGGGCTCTTGCATCTTGGCATCATCTTGGCACAGGGTCAGGAAGTTTAATCCACATCATATACATAGTATATCATATATGCGGATGGGTCAAGAACTATTGGTACCATATACCATATTTTGGGGAATAAACATCCATTAAGTCCATTAAGTCCATTAAGTCCTCTCTTATAGGGTACCTAGGGTACCAGGGTTTGTGACCCATAACCATAGTCAGTATATATAATATATTTATATAAGGTACACACGTAT